TTAAATTTACGTTGAACATGCTGCACAAGTTATTAGAAATTGTGCCATCATCTTATTAAACGGCTTTAATTGGTTGAAGAAGTGATGAGACCAATCAGGCGGAATGTCTTTGGTGAATGCTGGCATTACGGCATAATCTGATACAGAAAAAATTAGGCAAGAAAAACCATGAAATAAAAAGCAGGTTAATGAAACTATAACCAGGCAACACACCAGTAACTCCTTTTACTCATCTATCCAGCTCATTATGTATTCTTTTATTTACTTTGATATATATTATTCACAATAACTTGTCATAATGAAAAAAGGAGAACTCCTAAAGTTTCGCCATATCTTCAACATATGAACAGTACACTAACTGTTCATTAGAGCTCAGATAACTATATTTTCTGGCCCGAAATTAGAAGGTCGTTTACATTTGTTTGTTGTTTGTTTTATTTATAGGCCACCTTTCTACCAATACAGGGACTCTAATATGATTAGAGTTGAACATACCACCTGTTACAATTCAGATGATATTATAGATATCGCCTGTTACAATTCAGATGATTTTCTGACTCCAATCTATGTGTAAACCACTTAGGTTCAGCCAGAATAACATATATTAAACTATTTTTGGCCCTTCTATTGAAAAACACGCAACAGAATAAATATTTCTACCATGTAGAAATCAAGAATAATCTTTTGCAGATACTCATTCTATGTGGGATATGTCAGTTTAACAGAACAAGAGCGCAATGTGATAAAAAGCTTCAATTATTCATTTTAATTAAAAACAAAAATTCCCACTTGCCTAAATATATTTCTCAAACATCTGAACTGTACAATGCAATTTCAGATATGTTACTTTGTCTGAAAATGGCATCATAATAAATAGAACAGAGACGGATAAACAAGAATGGATTGAGAATAAAATTAATCTAATTTATTACACTCTTGCCGGACATCAGAAATCATGCTTAAACTGCTAAGGTGTCCACTCCAGTCTCTGACTCAGCAGAGGCATCTCTAATGGGTTCTGCCCAAGGTTAAAACTAAAATTTGAGCACTCTCAATATTTCATTATCTAGAAAAATGAACTGTTCCAGAATACATGAAGAGTAAAATGGAAGTTGTGCTTTTAAGAGACAGGAAGAACATTCGAACAAACAGTAAACATTCAAAGCAAAAACTCTTGGGGATAAAAAAGAACAACATCCATTATTCAGAAATGTGAGAACTCTATGAAGTGGGAGGAAGAAACAAGTCTGCATTTGGGGGTCTAGATGAGCTGGTCAAATGCACCAGAAGTTATATCGTTTTTAAAAAACTGATGATTCACTAATCTGAAGAGAGTGCAAATTTCATGAGATTGTTCCACGCATACAACATCACAGAACAGCTTACCTGAACAGGATTGGCGTGGCAGATGGTGATGGACACTCTTATCTCTTGCTACCAAAAGGTGGCTATGCTGTAAACCTTTCTAAGGACCTAAGTTTTTAAAAGAAGCATTCCTTATAGTTTGAGTTTTAAACCACACTACTGGAATATACATGACGCGGTGGTCATTCTAATGTCAGTGAACCTTGTGTTCATGCGAACTCAGCTACAAGGAACTATTTATTTATTTTACTTATTCACTCACTTTATATATCATGTTCCTCCCAAACCCTGAGACGCAGGGCATATATATTTCCAAACAAGAAACAGTGTTTTCCCATCAAGGACAGGTGTTGCTTTAATTGCCATAGGGAAAAAGTGGAATCTTTTATTGTGTAACTAGAGAAAGTACCTATGGGCTGCTGAAGGACAGAACGAGCTTGGACCCGGGTTCTGGCTACTAAAACCATTCATCATCAACCCCATTTCACAGATGTATCACTGGTTCAGAGGGACCGTATGTCTCTCTGCTAGATTTTATCACTCAAAATAGATTCAAGAGCAGAACACTGGTGAGACACCATACACATTCACAGTCGAATGTCATGCTGCTAAAATTATTCTGTGTTTCACTAATACAGGATTTTAATATATATTTAGACATTATTTTAGAGATGGTAAGAAAATAAGCCATTATCCATTACTCCCCTTAGCAGTTATCTGCTATCGAGCTGCAATTGCAGGGTATAAACAGATTTTCCCCTCCCCAAATTTCTGCCACACTCTTGTTTTTAGTACTAATAACCAACTCTGAACACTGATTTTTATGCAAATACATTTATGGAAAAGCAGGAATGGAAAACCTGGGGAAGGGAAGGGAGTGGTATGTCCTGGAAGATGGCCTGGCCAGCTGGCTAGGACCTTGAACAAAATCACTTCACTCTGCAACATTTTCTTGCAGGTGGCTTGAGTAAATTCATAATTCCAAAGCAGTGATTCATGCACTGTCTCCCACCCATCTTCCTAAGAAAACCCTCGGTTTGTAAGACCACTGAAACATTGGCTTTTGTTCCTCCTTGAAAAGGGAACTAGAAAAGCTTCCCTTTAACACTTGGGAAAACGGTGATTTATTGACTGCAAGCTAGAACAATATACTCCGTGCCCAGCGTTAAGGACAGTTCTAATACCTTGATCTTGTTTTCTGACATTCTGCTTGAATTCTTGGCAGGGCCCTTCTTAAACTCAGCCTGCAGGAATCCCTGATCTGTCTCGACACACATGGCGACGAACCAAAAGCAACAGGGACGACTTCTGAGATTCTTCTTTAAAAGGGCCCAGGCAGAAATGGCGAGAGTCACAAACCTCTGGCAACAAACCCATGGCAATTAGCTCAAGAACCCCATGGTGATTAGCAAACCTAAGACCAGCAGGGATGAGAAATATTCAAAGTAGCCACGCGGCAAGAAGACAGGACACAAAAACTACGCATTCTAGACCATCTACCTAATATGGGTTTGCAATCTACAGGTGCTTCAACCATGAGAAAGCAACTACTGTATATTCGGAACGGAAAGCTATCTGGAAGGGCTGAAGTGCAATTCAAAGTGGAGGAGAAATGAAGGGCATCCTTCTTCCACTACTTCTTCTCTCAAAGCTTAATCTGTCAGGAAATGGCTTTTCCCAGCAGTGTCAGAAAAACGAGTTCCATCTGGTTTCAGCTACATACAACCGTGTGTAGGATTTAGAGTACAAGAGGAATATTAGCGTTGGGAATGGCCAAGAGCAGCCATACCATAGTTAACAGGAAACAGAAGGAAACTGTATTGAGGAGCAATTCTGCCAGCTTGGGAGCCTGAAGATGGCCAGGTCTGGAAAGAGTTTGTGGGGGATAATTAAGGATGACAGCAACAGTGGAAGAGGAAGCCCAGGGAAAGGCGTCCCAAAATTTTTGGGACAAAGAATGGATACCAAGATTCACAAAGAAACTTGGCTAATGAGGGACAATGATTTGAAGGAGAGGATCCAGGAAAGGACTAGAACTGTTATTCCAAATCCATTGTTAGAATTTGAGAAGTCTCAAACTGAAATAAAGAGAAGAACTGCGTTGTTTTTATACAGATTAAAAAGAGTCCTGCTGAAATTTGCAAAAGGAAGGAGGGAGAGTGGCAGTCATAAAGAATTCACATTTGAATTACTGCTGAAATTTGCAAAAGGAAGGAGGGAGTCATAAAGAATTCACATTTGAATTCAAAAATCTGATTCTAGAGAAATAAAATATAACCTGTATTCTCACACAGAACGCCTTATCCCAATGCAAAATAGCCAGACTATAGAGGAAGGAGAGACAAGCCAAGAGGGCAGCAAATTATAATGCCATGGCACAATTGAGGTAGACACATCTCAACCACAGCGCCCAGTCTATTGGAAAGTTCTAGTGGCTTGTGAAGGAGAACATTTTAAAAGCCCCACTAGCACCTACCAAAGATCTATAAGGAGAAGCAACCCAATACAGTACACTGCTGACTGGTCTCTCTAGACTGGCAATCTAGTGCTATACAACTCCCATGCTGGCTAAATCAAATGGGAGATGTAGTCCAAAAATGTAGATGACAAGGTTGTCTAACCTCATGGCTCAGTCTAGTTCAACATTGCATTTCCTGAAGAGGCCAACCAGATGCCCGTAGGAAGCTCATACTGGGGGGCATCATGTTTCCCAGCAACTTCATTATGTTTCCCAGCAACAGATGGGGTAGGACCTTCAAGTGGATTGCCCTCCCTCCTGTTAATGGGACGGGGAGGGTGTCCATCCGGTAGCCCTTGGGATGTTGTTGGGATTTCTACCTTAAGGACCAGTGCAGAACCATCATCTTTCAGTTCACCTCTGCCTTGGGGATACTCCAAACAAAGGACCATTCTCACTATACTGTACATGAAAATCTGCTGTGCAGCCCTTCCATCTTTTCTTTTCTAAGTGTGTGGGGGGGAAGGGATTCGCACCCACCCGACTACTGGAATCAAAGGACAACAGGTACAAAAAGAACCTACATTTGAACTCCCAGTAAAATTCCATAGGAAGGGACTGGAAAATGACAAACCCCCATTCAGATGGTACCTATTACGGGAACAAGCGAAAATGATAATTCGGAGTCATAAGTGGGGCAAGGGACCCAGGCTGGAGTGGTCAACATGACCGGGACGGAGAGGTGTTTGTAGTTGCCGAGCTGAATCGGGCAATGAAAACGAACGCCGGGGGTGTGTGAGGACGGAGTGCCGGCCGAGACACGTGAGCCAGCCCACAACCCGGGGCAGCGCTTTTAAATCCCGGGTCGTGAAACTACTCCCGAGGGGAAGGGGAGGGTTTCGACCACGGCTCCTGATTTCCCGTAACAAGCAGAGGCGAGAGGAGGACCACTTCGGAGGTTAAAACAATTCCCCACAGAAGAAGATGGCGGGGAAGAAATCAATCATAACGCGCAACCCGCGTGTACAGCGTCACGTGTGAAAGCGGCACCTGCGACCGTGGCAGCCGGGTTTCCCTTTCATCCCTTCCCTGCCTCCGTCCCCCTCCCTTCGTATCCAGTGCCCCCCTCCCTTGCCCGGACGCCTGGATCGCGGGCGGCCCGAGGCGGCACCCTTACCGTAGGGGCGGTGAGGCGGCTGATGCTCTCGCCCA